AATAGTGACGTCCACTTGCTTGTAGTGCCATACAAAATCTATGGGAGAATTTCGTTTTGACAGTTTTAAAAAGTACGACAATTGATTGGTGGTGTCAACATGTCTATTCAGTTATATAGAGATTCTACCTGATGATTGCACTCTTCTGGGCGATAAAACTACTACGCAAATTAACTATCTAGCAAACTTTTGCATAGACCCATAACTCTGTGTATCGAAACGCGGCAGTTTTCACAACACATTAAAAGAAAGCCGGTCTCCATCGGAATGGGTTTTGTCCGCGGCTGGCGCGGCGCCAACTCGTGCTGCACTCGCCGAGGACACCCGGGGAGCCTCCGATGCACGTTACGTCACAGTTTGACACTTGAAAGACAAAAGAAACGTTCATGGATAACAGCCTGCGATTGACCTCAGAGAGCTTTTAACATATTCCATGAATGTTAACAGCATTGTTGTGTTCCGGCAGTTAGCCAGTTCCTCTGTGGTTGAGGATTCCGGGAGAAGCTCGCTTCCACCTTCGGCCTGATCATCACTTACCATCAGGTGAGATACAAGCCAAGAGCTTCCTCATTGTGGATAAAAAAAATCTAATACCTATGTATTAATTTCAGAGATCACTTACGTAATTATCTGATTTGATCGTGTACCCCTCTCAATCAAGTCGTCTTTACTATTTAATTTATTCATCAGTTTGAGAGAACACAACTTATGTCACAACAACACAACACAGACCCCCAAATACGCTAATTATTAATTCATTAAGTGAGTAGATACATAATGCAAAGATTCCACAAAATTATGTTAAAGTTTTGACACACTCCTCTGTGTGCGTCTGAAGTTGTTTTATTAGTGCTCTTTAATATTCTGAAGTCATTATTTTAGGTTCATTAGTAACAGATCTAGGGCGCAAGGGGATCCAATCGCATCATTAAATTTGTTGTTCTTTTAGTTTTCAAAGCAATATAGGGTTTCAAGCAAGAAAATCATTTATAAAGTTATGAAGACTTCAAAATTGTTATACGAAATCATAATAATGTAGGTAGTTGTAATGTAATATGAAAACGTTCAGAAGTTTTCGAACAACAAGTTGAATTTAATAAGAACGGCAAACATTTATTCAAATTTAGTATTTTTAGTTTTTAATCCCTAATTGCTGTTGCTTTAGTCTCTAACGCATGATGTTTTCACCTATAATTAAGTTTGCATTTAACAAGTGTAATTTTTTATAGTTACTTTTGTGAAGCCTCAATGTAACCTTGTTGGTGTTCAAATAAATAAATAAATTTATTGACCGAAGTCTGCCAACGGGAGATCTAGTGAGAAAACAATGAAATACTGGATATTAAAACAGAAAATGGAATATTATTATGATTCCAACACGGAAGTTTGCGAACAAATATTAATTCGGCATTTCATTTAGTTTCGCAACGGAGCAGCGTTATTGCAGTTAATTAAAAGCCCTATAATAAGTTTTATCAAGATAAATAAACTGTCCGTCCGGCTAATCCGGCTGAAATCGACTCGCCATGAAGCCGCGCGAGCGTGGAGCTCGGGCAGCGGCGGGTAAACAAAGTTACCGCGCCGCGCCACTCTGTAGGGATGGCCAAGCCGGCCTGCGGACTGAAAAATACCTAAGCTTTTACGACCTTAGGTCAAAAAGTATGATGCATACATAAAATATGATACATACCTCGGCCATTGAAATAATTCTTTTTTGGAAATAGTTTTCTATGACAGAAGTGAAGAGGTGTGAAGTGTGAGTGAAGAGGGTTTTACGTGTTGAAATGATGTAACAAATTCTAAACTCAGCTTAATAATATTGTAATGAACGCGTAACACAACACAACGAGCGCGGTGCGGCAATCTCGTAATATTTGATAGCGCTGTTTGATCCCTTGTCGTTATCTCATAATATTTTCCATCTGGTCTAAAATGGAAATAAAACGTCTCCGACGCCCGCTCCCGCGCCGCGCTCGAGAGCCAGCCCTGCGCGGTGGATGGCCAGCGAACTTCCCGGACAAAAGTTTTTATGGCGAAAAAAAGCTCTGGAGTTCGCCTCTTTACAATATCAGGGTATGGTTCCGTTGCTCCATTTGGACAGTATTTTTTACTAATTAAAATGTATTTCATAAAATGGACCTACTAGGTACGAGTAAGTACTACCTAATAAGGCTGGGTTGCACCATCTTACTTTAACTTTGACAAACGTCAAAAATCTGTCAAACTCCATACAAAAACACCGGCAACTCAGCCTAAGTAGTCTACAAAATAATGTAGGTTGGCATAATAACAATTCGACCACAATAACTGTGTCTTCTATGGGTATTGATGCCGAAGTCCCACAAAAAAGAAATGAAGTTTAAACAAATGACTGAATAAAAAAACAAAATAAAAATTTTGAGATCATTTGCAGACAGCCCACATGGGCGCGGGCGCGGTGACTCGGGAAGACATCTGGAAATTAAAAAAACTGTCAACATCCCGCTGCTGCGAGACAAAGAGGCGGCAGCGGAGCGACTAAATGCGCCTTAAGTGGGACTAAGCACTGTGCCTCGCCCTTTATTGTTGCTATATGAATGTGAAAGTACTTTATAAATACAATCTGCTACTAATTTATAGCTTTTACCGACTCTTATCGAGCTCTGCATTTATCGCACGCTAAAATATTCATACGAGATTCTATCAATAAATGTACAAAGCTGTTAAAATACGATAGAGAGAATGCAAAAAAATATTGTAAGCCGTTTTTGTCAGGCATACAATAAGTGCAAATTCAATGACACGTGTTGACACAACGTGCGAGCATTTACGGCGGACAAAAGTTTCTCATAGAGTGGCTTTAATTGAATTACTTTGTTCCGTAAAATTGAGCGCGCTTGCGACATGAGCATGCAGGCATTTTGCATCCAAATATTTATGATGGGGAATAAATATCGACAGGCTGGACAAAATAAAAAAACTAACGAAGTAAAGTGAAATCACAAAAATATTCTATCATTAATGCATGCATAACTCAAACGAGAATGGTCTATGATGTCGTTGGACTGGATATACTCAATATGTATCATCATCATCATTTCAGCCATAGGACGTCCACTGCTGAACATAGGCCTCCTCAAGCTTTTCCATAATGGCCGGTTGGTGGCGGACTCCAAAATAATTAAGAAACTTATGAAAAACTGATGTAAGATTGGGGCTGGACAGTGAGCCAGGAGCTGCTGCGAGTGCTTATTAATGTTTGCCTTGCAAAGTAAGCATCCGAAAGCAAAATAATTTCCACCCGCCTGAAATGAGGGATACCTTTTTCACTTGTTGATAAAGGGTTCACAAGAGAGGTTAATCATTTACAGAGTATCATGCCTCATTGGTTCATTCTTCGTTAGGAAACTTAATGTCACTGAATCGAATTCAAACAATTAAATCTGATTATTTAGCGTAACTTTTGGTCCCAAATCATCCCTCATCCGAGCAAAGGTGAACGTTCAGATGAAATCGGTAAAGAAGGTTGTAAGTAATTAAAATGTAGATAAACAAAAGTTTTACTGTCGTGAATGTGGCCCCACGATAGCACGTGCTCCGGCGCCATGCGATGCACTGTGGCGCGTCACATTGTTTGCCTTCCCATCTCGCTACAACAATCCACTGCGGCCCGGTGCGTCGGCCCGCGACAATGTGAAATAAACAGATCATAGAAAATAATACAGTTAGAGCTACAACTTTTATCCTTTGCAGCTGGCTTTGGCTGCCATCCGTAATTAATTTATCGATCAGTCTGTAGAGGTTACACAAAATGAATGTACTTACAATATTTATATCTAAACTAGCGGCCGCCCGCGACTTCGTACGCGTGGATCCCGTTTTACCCCCTTTTCCCGAATTTTCTTTGCTATAAACCTCACGGAGCCCGAGACCTTTCCAACGAATGCAAAACTGTGGAAATCGTTTCGTGCGTTCTGGAGTTATAGCGTCAGGGAGGAAAACCCGACTTATTTTTATATAGTAGATTGGGAAAAGAGTGTATGTTGTTAAAATAAGTTAAAGGATTTCCTAAAACCGCGTAAACACGCACGCACAATCTTCGCAGATTGCAATTTTTTTGTGCTTGCCGCGAACCACTGCCACAAGTATTGAGCAGACGCTAGTCTACTCTCGCGGCGCTGAGCGGCGTCATCAAACATGAGCGAGGATGGGCTCCCTCCGCTCCAGCGCTCGAGCGCTCGAGCGAGCGAGCGACGGCGACCCATGCCAATTACCTAATGACAGCGCTAATCCTTCGCGATATGAAAAACATTGTGCCCCAAAACACACAGCTTAACTCCATCCAGAAAACAAACTTGTTTACCGTGCAATTAGGCCAGCGCCAAATAAACTGAAAGCATCCAAGCGCCTTCTATTTTTATTGCCCCTTATTTAGTAATTTAACAATAGGATATTAATGGCCTCGAACGTAGGATTATAATAAATCGAGGGATTGACAAGGACGTGCTCCGACCGTTACACCACCTACCCCTTCCTTTTTGTTTGGACGTTTCGTAAATCGACTCGTTTATTTAGAATTGGGAAAAGTAGAGTTTATGTTAAGGTGTGTCCACATTAGCGCGGCCACGCGTGGCGTGCATGCGGTGCGTGCTCGCTCGATAGATCACGCATGCCCACTTCGTCCTACCCAAATTTTAAAACGCTGATCTGTCCCAGCCCCACGGCCTGCCTCGTGTCGGCGACTCCAGTCTGAGCGCGCCCACTGAACGCCGGCCTAGGTTTCAGGCCGCCCCATCAACCTGGCTAATCGCCTAGCACATTCCCGTTGCTGAAACATGAAGATGACCGATAAATCATTCGGCGCTATTATACAACATCTTAAGTGCACAATTGTAAGAAGTTAATTGCCTTTCGGGCGCAAAAAATCTGACGTCGCTAGGAAATCCGGTCATTCCCGGAAAAAGCAATAAATCTTGCCTAGCCGCAGATAGAGAGATCGGGCCGGGGCGGGGGATGCGTACGGAGAGAGATGGTGCAAGTGGCAGATCGATAGGCGGCGTCCTGCCGCCGCACTCGCCAGCCTGCCGCCACTCCGCCGCCGACCGCCGCGCCGCCCGCCCGCCGCCCGCCGCCAGCCGCCAGCCGACCCACTCCGCTGCTCTCCGCTCGCCGCCGTTTGCCGCGCGCCGCTACTGTCATGATGGAGGTAAGCATTATTTTTAATATTTTGAAAATCGTGCGGCAATTTTATAAGTAGGCTGAATCGGCGAAATTGAACATTTTACGCGTCTGTGTTTCAATTCCTAGTGAATTTACGTTCGGTTTAAAATTCGTGCAAGTTTTATTGAACTTCGGATTGCGGCGTGCTCACTCTCGGTTTCGATGTGTTTGCGTGTGGAATTCGAAATGTTTGCAACGAGTAAATTTACATTTCCGTTTATTGTTGGGAATTGGATCGGGTTTAATTCATGAAATTTTAAATAACAGTAATTTAGAAAGGTTACATGGTAAAATAAAGTTAGTTTAAAAAATTAAGGTGCTTAATGTATAAAAATAAATTGGGAATTTTCGTTAATAATAAAAAAAATGTGCTGCGCATCTCGTTAACATGAGAGTGGGCCCGGGGCGGGGGTGCGGGTAATGTTGTCTTTGGGCGCGCATTTTTCGAGGGATTCTGCTGCTGATGCCCCGGGTCGTCCGCGGCGCTTCGTAAATAAATATATTTGCGCACTACGATCGTACGCAGTGACAGCCTGCTCACAAACAATTGATTTTCTATTATTTCGCGATATTCGAAGCGATAAGGGTATATTTTAATTTAAATAATAATACATCAAATAAATATACTCTGTGTTTTGCAAAGTTGAGAAAAAGCTTCAATTTTAGTGAAAAATGCTACGAAAATACTGCCGAAGAATCTAACAAAGAAATATTTACAAAAGAGGAATTGACAATGTTATCAAATCAAATGGTAACTCGAGTCGTTTAATGTTGGAATCACAAAACGCTTTTATTCTCTCGGTTTATTATTTGAACAAATGTTTGCATTAAAATGTTTTCTTTCGAGACTCGCTTAGTAAGAGCGACAGTTAAAAGGCACAATTTGTGTTGCGTCGGACGACGAGACGGCGACGGCTCCACGCGTCGTGTCGCGAGCGAGCTTGCGACGCGCTTTAAAGCTCGCCTTTTGATGTGACATTTTTGCCGTAAATCGTGACTGAAATAAAACTTTGCATGGATTATAAACAGTCGTAATTTCATTAACGTTCTCGTATTTAACGGAGCTAACTTATACAAATTACTCACATTTAAGTACGTGTTTTGAGATATTGCAAAGTAGAAGATTTATTTGAAGGATAAAATGTTTTGTATTATTTGGCGCACACTTTTTAAGTTCATTAGTTGCGATTTATAAACTGATGAAAATACGAATATCTACCTAGAAGTAACAATTATGAACCTAGTATGTACAATTGTACATAGGTACTCATTTTTGTCCTGAAGTAATGGTAGAGTCAATCTTAATCGAAAAAGCCAAAATACTGAATTTTAATTAATTTCTAATATAAATACAAAATTCAAGTTAATATTAAGAATTGAGCAATCTTATAGAAAAGAATTTGTTATAGGGCGATGATCGCAGCACAACAGCCTCCGTGGTCGCGCTGCGGCTCTTGCAGAAAGCGCCGATTAAAATATTAACAAATCTGCTTTACATTAAAAAAACAAATTAGTTATTGTGTAAAATTAATCACATGTGTCAAAAAATTATCACAAAACATTGCATTCATAGAGATGACACGTTTTGTAAATTACGTTATCAACTGATGAACACTGATAATATTTATTTAGCCAAAGAAATTACTATTTCTTGAACCCAAAAAATACATGTAGTAAAATTATTCTTGTTTGAAAATAATTCAAATGAATGGGAAGATAAACTTGTTTTTTTTAAACAATCAAATAAAATATTAAGTCTATTAAATATAAAGCTACATTAAATATCAGCTATAAAGTCATTAAAATTGCTAATTATCGTACTTACGAGTAATAATTAAATGAGCGTCTAAAATAGTTAATTATAAGTACCTACTTGAATAAAGGATAGCAAAACATAAACACGATGAAGGAGGTAAAAGCCCTTGAATTTTAATAATTATTCAATATCCATATTTTTATTGGCTATAAATATTCTGGCGCCGGTAAGGGCCGGCAAAAATATTTAAAAGCGTATTAACTGTAAAACGCGAGATTAGTTAATTATTATCTGTGCTGGCCGTAATTGGCCGATGCATTAAATAAAAGTAGGTACCTCTAGTACATACGAGTCTATGTATAAATACATAAACCTCGCAATTTAGGTCCGTGACGAAAAGACCCTCGGAAATTGGCTGAATGTAGGTTATGTCCCGCGGGAGTAGCATAGCTACCGACAAAAGTTTTTGGAATGGATAACTAACTCATTTTTTTATCGTAGGTATCAGCCTATCCTACAGCAAAAATCAGTAACTTTTAAACAAAGCCGAGCACAATAGAAATCAATTGTTTGTCAACGATACAAATCGAAATAGGAGAAACAAACAAGGTTTTCGAAGGGGGTTTGTTCTAGCTCCTTAAAATAAGTACATACAAAATTATAGATTTGATGAAATATGCAAACTGTCAGTGGAAAATAGGTATTTTGTATATAGATGATCTTTTTCCACGTATTTTGAGAGTTGTGAAATTCATGCATAAAATTAAAATAACTTTACTTACGTCTTATTTCAAATACTTATTTTGAAATTGGCATATTTTTTAAACGAAAGAAGAGGGAATATACCTACTTACAAGTGGATATTTTAAAGGTGATGAAGTAGTACATTTTTAAAGTATGATTTTGATAATGCAAAAAATATTTGGGAGAAGCTGAAATGATCCGGGTCCGCAAGATTACAACGATATGGATCCACCCCGCCGTGGCAGAAGGTGCCGTGAGCGCGGCGCTCAATTTGATTGCCTGAAGAAGAAAATGAAAGCTTCGAGCATTCAATCTCTATTTCCGAGAATAAAACGCCGCCATTTCACTCGAAGACTATCAATTCAGCGGAGAATTGCAAATCAAATCAAATCAAATCAAAATTATTTATTTGCATAAAACATGGTACATTTCAGTTATTATCTTGCTACGAGAACAACATGTTTCATCGACATAGCGATATGCAAACATTTAGTCGTCATGCAGTTTTATTATTAAATTATTAGTAGTCATTATTAATATTACATGATCTACCTCCAATAGAATATAAATGTCAAAAATATTTATTACAATGCAATTACAATATCAATTAAAACAATTAGGTAATTCAGGTAAGGATTAAAATTTAGGATGTCACATAAATTATAATAAATTAAACAATTTTATGATCACAATAAAATGTGAGAATACAATGTCAGTATCAAAATTACAAGAATGTCATAAATTAGCAATTCGCATATGGTTACCACGGCAGCGGGCATCTTCGCCTCTTAGCGCCGAGGAAACGCTCTTAAGTGATTTATTGGTTTTACACATTTCACTTGAAATAACAGCTACTCAACAATAATGTTTTCTTCTTACATTTATGATATAAAAAAATTCTGAACCTAAAAGCTGCGAGACACAAACTGCGAGCTTAATAGACGTTTACGAGTATAACTTCTCATATTAATTAATGTCGTAATATCTCCAGTGATCTCGACCTCATTAATTAAATCTTATAATGATTACTTTACTAAGTTTATATTCTTTGGAAAACTTAAGTGAAGACAGAATGTGATATGTTCATTTGTAGAGGGTACTAACATACTATTATACAAGAAGAAGAAGTCAAACTAACAACACAGCAGCCGGCGCGAGCGCAGCCAGCCTGTTGAGCGCCGAACTGTACGGGATCGAAGCGCACCGATGCAAACGTTTCATGAAGACGTAATAATGCCAAGCGTTAAGTAATCCGTGGTCAAACTGCTTAATAATCAGTATTTACCACTGACTGGAGTATTTATAACTTTGATTATTATTAATTGTTACCTTTCCGAAATATGTATATCAATTTGAAGCTAAGAAAGTTTCAAACCGAAGAATGTACTTAACTCTGTTATTTTTCTGTTACTACTTGAGGTTGATCGAGAATAAAGAATATATCAATACCTTATTATTATTATTAGTCTTATTTATTATTCCCTGCGTAATTAAATGGTGAGATTTTATTATTTAACCTAAGAACAAATTTTACGTATAATGCCAAAATGTCCCTATCCGCAGACAGGACTGTCCTTCATTTTTGAACACCCTGATTAGGTACTAGACGAATGAAATCGTAACAAGGTTTAAGCCCTTATGTGCACACCCCATTTCTAGTAGGTACTACACCTATTTAAAGTTTTGATTAAAAATATCCCCACAATCACAAACACATAAATATCAATGAATTACCTATAATACAGTCGTAAAATTGGACGAATCGGTTCCGTAGTTGCTTCCCCAAATGTCAGTAAAGTAGAGTGTAATCTCGGAGCAAGCGCATATCGCGCCGCGCATGCGCGAGTTATAATTAGTCGCAGGCGCCGCCTCAATGGCCGAGTCATTGACTGCGATGTTGATAGTACAAGTCGCGACAAGACGAATGACCACGATAAGCGAAGATTAAGCGCCCATAAAAAGAAGATCGTTTCGCTTGACATAAAACAACAGAGAACATTTACTTATCCCCTAACTTGTTTAACTACAATATGTAGTTTTTCTAAGAGACACCTATTTTGGTTTGTTCCTCAAAATCTACACCTTTAAGGAATTGTGCACAGAATACCTAAATTAGGTAATTAGTCACAGGATAAATAGGATATTTCCTCTTTTCCCCAAAGAAGATAGTGTTTTAAATTCTGAAAAAATGGTCTTAGTAAAGTTAATAATAAATTAAATATCCTTGGACATTTTACACTGCACCATCTAGTCCCAAACTGAGCAAAGTATGTATGGTATGGGTACCAGAAAAAGGATATAATCATACTTTATAAAAGTTTAGTAATAATAATTACTTACACATACATGGAAATAACACACTTAGACCAATACAAACAAAAGTTCATGCTAACAATTGACGAACCTGCGACCTCTACACCAAACGGTCGTCAAAGTTAAGTGATAAAACATAACTACATAGTTATATGTATACCTACATAGTACTACAATATTATCCAAGTCCTACGAGTACTAAACTGCAAACGTGCCGCTGCACGCAGTTGGCCGCGACCTAGACCTCCGGAGCGCTCGTGACCTCTCAGCCTGCAGCGAGGCAGCGACACACCGGCAATCATGTTATGAAGAAAATATTTTTGCGTCGCAAACATCATCTCAAAACCCGCGAGAACGCGTGGGCAGAATATAGTCAAAATGGTGAGTCTGCCGGACTGGTAGCGCAGCTTTTCATGCCATAATATTTGAAAATTACATAAGGTAGATAATGCAGGGCACTAGGAATTTTTTGGGCAACGAGTGTGGTATCGGGATATCAGGTTGAAGCAGGTAATACTCGTTCTTTGATGCTTCAAAATTTCGCAAATGTGTCTGATATAAAATAAATGTTTATTTCTCCTCGGCTTTTTAATTTCGCGCTCAAAGTTGTGGGTCCACATAAAGTTACTCTACAAGTTCATGTTTCAAAAGGCGTGTTCAGGCGAAACTTCTCGGTACTACGCCACATTTTAATCATCCACGAACTGTGGTACATTAAACTCAGCTAGGTATATTGGTGGCGTAAAGTTGTAAAGGTATATCGGGACATGTCACGGGTAGGGGTGATCTTTTGGCTTAGGTAAATTGCGATTGCGATCTCATACATATACAATTTACCGTGAACAGTTTCTACGGTAGGTCTGTTACGGCACCATTCATTCAAAATATAGTAAGTCGAGATATAATATCTGGTAAATAGAATCACCTACTAGTTAATTGATAATTAATTTTATTTAGTTGAAAGTCGCGATACAGAGGCAGACATGAAAAAAAATATACCTACGTAATTTTAAAAACTTAACATTATAAAGTCCTTATCCTTTATTATTATAATGAAGAGATAAGTATTGTATTCCGCTGTGGCCGTGACTTTTAAAGGTTTACTATAAACTGTCTCCCAGCAGAATTAGTATAGAATCATTGCAGCTGTCCATCGGCGCAGAGGACAGACCTTTTGAACACAGTGATAATAACTGCGCTATGATGAGCATCCGCAAGCAGGCAATAAAAAATGTTGTTCAGCTCCCGCGGCATTTATCTTTAATTGTACCAATAATACCAATCAAATACTTAACCATATTGAAGGGCAATAAATTTCATCTGACAAATTGGAGTTAAGTTGGCGTACCTAATATTTTATTTCTTCAATTATTTACTTCGATACATATCCAATCCGTAACTTAAATTGCTCGTAACTGGAAATAGCTCGTAGTTGTACCTTATCAGTGCTAATAAACATTGAATACCTACTTATACTCGCGTGTAGTACACGCTGAAACATAGTCATAGTTATCTGCGCTTATCACTATTTAGGACAGCACTTAACAGGAATGTTCCGTTAACCAAGGGAATCTGCATAATGGCGGCAGATTAGAGCGCTTACCACGAAGTGAAGCGACAACTTAACAATTTTTCATTTGGCTCCTCCAATTCATTGGTTTCCCCGATTTTATTCTATTCTTCACCACATTCTTAGTATTCTCTTTAAGTCCAATTCTTTCTAGGACTCGTTTGTGAGCTTTCTTGACATGTCAATAATATCATGTTAGAATGGTCTGTTCAAAGCTACAAGAAGGGAGCTATCAAAGCTTCCTTCATGTAATTTAACATCACGAAGTGAAGCTTAAAAAGCTGTCATTAGATAAGAAGATAAAAAGACGGCGATATATCTACTTCTTTAAGAATCCTCCTTCTGGCGTAGTCGGGTAAAAAAGATTAAACTGTTTTTGTGGTTTTTTCTTAGTATTTGGACTACTTACCTAAATATCTTACATACTCACCCCACATCGCATCGTGTGTCCGCAACCTTATTTGATATTTCTTTTCCCCAGTCTCCCTATACAGAGATGAGATGGATAAAATGAATCTGTCACGTGAAATAGATATCACTTTGTCTAGAGTCTGGAAATAATGGCGAAAGCGAATGTCCGCATGGCGAAGTGCTAAGCGAATGTCCCGGTTGCCTCTTCCTTTAGGCTATGCGCGCACGGGTAACTTTTTGTCACCGTGACAGTATATCTTTTCCTTTTACACCTTTATAAAGAGAAAACAAATAGAGAGAACGTAGTGCTTATTCTTATCTATGGAGACATAGGCACTGCACGGTGACAAAAGTCAGCCGTGCGCGCGCGCATTTATTACCACCTGCTTGCTACCCTGAGCTTGGCCCGATTGCAGGCTGCAGATTATTGTTTGCCATATTTGGACTAAATTGAGATTTATTTCGAATCAGTAAATCGATGTTTCAGTTACCGATGACGATAAAATAAACGAAAATGATGATTTGTTAAGAAAACTTGCTACACAATTTCAAAACAAACATCAATTTACTGACTCACCATTGGAATTAGTGCAAGAACCAATATTATTACCCATCCTTTGCTTGTTTTACATTAATGTTTTATTACAACTTCAATAAGGGCTTTATTTTCTACCAACCTATGCTAGAGCTAGCGGATATGTTATTAGGTAGAATGTTATTTGTAAAATACTAATTACTATAGAGAAGGACGCGACACACGATGTAATTTACGAAGCTCATTATTTATTTACACTAACATTGTTAAACAACCATGTTTTTTTTTCAAATAATAAAACGAAGAGAATCCTATCTACTTTCAAATGTTTAATATTGTTATAGTACATACCTATCTACTTAATAATTATCTAAAACTTACTATTACACTGTAGTTAAGAATGCTTGGTTCCCATTAAAGAACCACCCGTGTCTTAATTTCTGGTATCCCATAACTAACCAGCACCGTTCGTCGCCAGAATAAACGTTGGTGGTTGATGGCCGCCGGCCTCGTCCTGGTGGCGCTGGCCCACGTGGCCGCCGAGGGAGAGGTCTGGGAGGAGAACGACCACGAGGTGCTGATCCGCAACGAGAGGGGTGCGAAGAATAAAGGTAAGCGCTTACCATATTACTTTACTATATTTCTACTGAACTGAGTAGGTTAGGTATAACTGAAAAATACCATTATGTTTAAAAATAAAAAAAATAAAATAAAATAAAATTCATTTATTTCAGGCCAGGGCCCATAAAATTTCAATAATAATAATAATTGCATTAAATAATTAAAATTAATGTTTAGCCCTGTGGAATCGTGTTAGGGTTTTAATGCTTACAATAAGTTGTTTACTGAACCGCGTGACATGATGGAGTGTAGTTTCGAACCACTTTGTCTTATCGTCCCCGGTGACTGTCTTGCACCTTGAGGGCAGTTTTAGACCAGGAGTTTGGGTAGTTTTAGACCAGGCGCGGATATTTACTTCCTAGTGACTACGGCAGCGCGTGCAGGCGTTCCGGACGTAGCACGCCGTAGCGTCGGCCGTAGCACGCCGTAGTGTCGGCCATAGCTCGCCGTAGCGTCGGCCGTAGCTCGCCGTAGCGTCCCCCGTAGCACCACGTAGCGTCGGCCGTAACGCTGTAGGCGGCCGCTATCGCCCTCCGTGTATTTAAGCACGCGGTTGCTAATAGCTGCCTAATAAAATTTAATAGAATCCTAGACAGAAGAATATACCTACATTATTTTATACTTTGTTATAGTTGGTTTACCTTAAACCTAACTTAATTGTGTTAAATATATAATTACTTTAGTTTTTTTATACCTACCTAAATTTTGCACGATATATTTGAAAATACTAATAACTATAAAACTAATCTAAAAAATCTTGAAAAAAATATCCTTGGGTCTCTCCGCGGTGAAATATCTTTTTACGCACGTTACACGTTTGTTAGTTATAAAATAGGTACTTACCTAGTTTGCATTATTTCTTAATTTTTATGGAAGTGTAGTACATACCTAGTTGTCGCTCCGCCATACATAGCTGAGATAGCGTTGCGTCACAGATTTTCGGTGACCCTGACCCACTGAAGCTTTGGTTTCCATCCAATATCGCGTGTTGCTTTGTTTCATTCCCACTTCAAGGCTGGGGTTATAGTGACATGTAAATACCTTGCCAAGGAACTTAGTAATATAAAATGAATAAAAATTAATATTATAGTTATTCCAGTAGGTATGTGTTGTTTCATAAAGCTGGGTTAAATACTTATAAGTTTATAGATTTTTATCCGACCCTTTTTCTTTGCGGTCCAGATTAGATTTCGAGCTTGCTTAGATTAGCCCGACGAACTTTTTTCAGAAGTTTAGGTCTTGCCTCGCTGAACTAAAAATGTCGGTAAAATCTAATGCTGCCAAATGAAACATACAAATGCAAGTAAGTACTAATAAAAACCGGATTTTAACTTAAATATTTTTTCATGAGAATTAAAATCTGATAATCTCTGTACCGTCAGACTTAAGACAGCCAAATGTGATCTATAGAGACTAACTACCTTCATATGCGCTCTTTCGAGGTAATTGGCGAAACGAGCGAACATTCTCCTCGCTTCAAGCGAGAAGCGAGTGTGGTGTAATGTTTTTTTTATTAATTTGCAAACCTTTCATTTATTTATTTACTTATAACTAACCTAAAGTAAGGTTATAAGATTAAGATAAAATATACTTATTTTTACGTTATTTTTTGCTCCCTTAATATAATTCCTACACATTCCTATTGTTTTATTTAAGTAATGTTTAGTTATTAACCTTTATTTTTAATTTTTGCCACCCTTCTATTGGGTCCTATGAGCATACCACCAAGAGCCGTCGCGTCCGCGCGCAGGTTACAGGGAAAAGTCCAGCGCGCGCCTGCCGCGGCCGCCGCTCGCCGCCGCGCTGCCGCGGCTGCACTTCCGCCCCCTGTGGCCCGTGGTCTTCTTCACCACTCCCTGGTACCCACTCCCTCCCCCCCTGACTACCACTCTCCTTCCTACCTCCTCCGCCAAACCCAACGCCTCTAGCAAGCACTCCCCCGTCGCGGCCGCGTAGACACCTTGCAACCACACGGCGAAGAACCTACCCGATTCGTAAACGGTTTCTCCAAACTCGCGGAGTAAGATTTGATATGTCTTAAAACTCGTCAGCATTCTAACATCATTGCATCAGTTTTCATTCCATCAATTTAATACACTTCAAAGACACGGCATGAGCTCGTATTACATAAAAATCAATAAATCACACCATTAAACCGATCTTTTACTTTCTTTCTAAAATAGCTACAGTATTAATGCGAATGGTTCCTTGGACTTAATCGTTGGACTTAATTCTAGTTCGTGTCCCACACTGATTCGATGAAGTGTCGCCACTGTGCAACAATCAGCGCCGCTTGTAGATAGATTACCCAGTCGATGCAATTTGCAAGCGGCGTGTGCACGAGCCCCGGAGTCACTAGACTAATTTAACTTTAACGAAGCAAATCCACTTAGCCGCCTTCGTCCTCCGGGGCCAATCGGTGCCCCAGGAACACAAGCTCTCGGCTCTCAGAACATGGGTTCATGAATAATTTAGGACTCTCGGATGGTTTAATTAGAGTGCCACCGCATCCACCGTCCTCGGCAGGGATGAAGTCAATAGATGCAAGGTTTTGTCTCTTCTGTGTGCCTACCATGAGTTTACGTTAGGTGTGCTCGCTAGCGACTGCGTAAAAAAATGACATTTAAATGTATGACATATTGTGCAGCGCCCCTAGCGGCTACTTTCAAGAAACAAAATCGTCATAGAATTTTTTGACGTATTCGCTAGCGAGCTCACCTAACGTAAACTCATTGTAGGCACACTGTTAACATTTACTTTAGACTCGTAACTACGAGTAGGTAAGTTACCTACAATGTTTTTATGACGAACAAGATTACTTACCAAAATATGTATTTTGCTAATTGAATGAGCAGTAACGTTAATATTATACTAAGTACTTATATTTTTAGTCTGATTAAGATCCTCTAACTAAATATATTTTGGTTCTGAAATGAACTGAGTCATAATTTTACTAACTATTCTTGATTGCGAGTCGTTAAAATTATCCTTTTTTTACTTGGAGGCTAGCCATGAATGAAAATACAATGAATGAACAGCGTTCATAAAATATCGCGCTACTTTTTGGACATAAAAAGAACTCGAGAAAGTATGGCCAAATTCTATTGAATTTGGTCTGACTCAGACCACACTCAGACGGTCTGAGAGACAGATGTCGTCGCCTGCGCATGCTTCGCTCCCTTAGCTCGGGTGCCAAATATAGCCCGTCTGAAATGACTTATGCGCAGTTAAATATAACCGTCCCTTGTGTTTTTGTTTGTTTTCTTTGTCCCGCTGCAGCCCCATCTGTGTGAAGTGTGAGCTGACTGTGCGCGCGCGCAATTATTTCACATTATCCTTTACCCATGGGTCCCCATGACCAAAATACTAACACTATAAAACTGTTTAATTGAACATTGAAAAGTTAGTTTTGATTAAAATCAAGGATTAAACTTAAATTACCTAATAATATGGTATGATACGTCTTATGATTACACGGTACCTATGTACTCAACCTACATCATCGATACCTACTCGTCAGATGAAAGAACGTCGACGAGTCAATTATATTAGCATTACCAACTAGAAAACTCGTTGTATGCTCAAGTTTGAATAATTCGAGTATCAAGCGAACAGAAACATTAAACTGTCGTTCATGCCATGACTTCCATGCTAGGTTTAAAAGAGTACAAGAAAATAGGAGCGATACAAACAATAAATAACTATTTCCTCATCACACACATTATAATAAGCACAGGTTACTAGGTATCATTACATTGAATAATGTCAACAATATCAATATGTCACAAAATAAAACAATAAATAACATGGAGATAAAGCATGTATATTGGCTCGAGCTGCAACTACCTAAAGTACTAATAAATTTAATTATTGCATGATTGATAAAATCGTACTAACTTGTGTGTTAATAACAGCATGATAATCGCTGGTAATAAAATAAGGATTTATTAATTGAAATAGTTAAGTATTATGGGGTGAATGAGTGAACATCCTTGTAAGGGATTATACTCGTAGTACAAGTCATTTGCAACCAATTTAGTTATGAATATGCCTAGTCAAAAGTTTGATTTCAATTTTGTATGGATAAATCTTATGAGAGGTGGTAGGGCTTATTCTAAGTTAGCCTAACTAGCTTACCACCATTTCACCTAGACTGTCGCCGTAACAACAATGTTAGTTAACAGAATTTTTGTGTTTCGCCAGTTGTGGTAAGATAGCCAGTTCTCCTTTGGTTGAGGCTCCGGCTCCGGACCTGCATGGATGCTGGAAGGCTTTTGGTTGAAACGAACATACTTTGAACATACCGTGCGATGTGAAAGTCATTGGGGAAGGCCTATGTTCAGCTGTGGACGTTTGGTTGAAATGTTGATGATGATGATACACACACTTTATGCTCCGTCTGACAAAAGCTTTGTTCATAACACACTGTAAATTAATGTATTTTGTCCCAGAGCCATGCCGGTACGTCCGTAGCGCCTGGTCCGAATGCGACGCCAAGACAAACATCAGGTCCCGAGTGCTGACCCTCAAGAAGGGAGACCCCGCCTCCTGCGAGCGCACCAAGACTATCCAAAAGAAATGCAAGAAACGTGAGTGCTTTACTTTACAGTTTAGTTGCAGGGCATTCGTATATGAGAACTAGCCAAGTCAGACCTTAGGCTACAATATTATATCCTAAATTATAAGAAGAAATGATATTCAGGACTGACCATTAAACTTGGCACCCATATAGATTTCACTTCTTTCGTCGTTCAAGTCAATAAACGGAGCTTATTATTGAACTTGGCTCTCATTTCACATTTATCTTTTTAATGGGATTAGTATCACGAAGAGTTCGAGAAGAGCAGTTCTATTCTAACGTTATCAACAAAATCTAAGAGAGTGGCTTACTCACAAAACTATTTATTGTAGTTCTGACTGATGATCCCGGTGAATGTTTTGTTTGCTAGCCTGTCGCTACGAGAAGTCGTCGTGGAGCGAGTGCAACGCCAACGGCGAGATGTCGAGGACCGACATGCTGAAGGCCAACAGCGACCCGAGCTGCGACCAGAGCCGCCGCATCACCAAGAAGTGCAACAAGAACAAACAAGTCAAGGCTACCAAAGATAAGGGTAAGCAAAACGTGTCAGATAAGTATAATATGAATGAAATGAAGGGACGCCCACACAAGGTGGACCGACGACATCATAAAGGTAGCAGGCAAGCGCTGGATCAACATGGAAAGCATTGGGAGAGGCCTATGTTCAACAGTGGACGTCCTATGGCTGAAATGATGATGATGATGTGAATGAAAAAGTTATGCCGCGCGGACTCCTTTATCGATGTCGCGATTGTCGGTTTGGTTAGATCGATCGATAAGAGCATCGCGAGAACCCTTAGCTGGATACGTTTAAGGATTTCTAAATAAAATTGGTTATAGGATTTCGAGGATTTAATACTATCGCTAGGCTAATAAAACAGTCTTCATGCGTTCCAGCAAGAAAAGAAAATCACTCTATTATTCTACCTTTTCTACTTCCATGACATATTTCACAGCTAAAATTGATTTTCAATACTTTTCATACATGGTTGCAAATCGCTTCTAGTTCGAATCTTAGACCATTACATAATATTATATTCTTTAAAATTAAACTATTTTTGTTTCAGGTCGCCGAAATCGTCAGTAAGTTACAGTTTAGACTTACCTACACAATAACATTCATTTAGACTAACTTTTTATTGTTATCGGTGGATGTCGGTCCTTATTATTGTGTAATAGTGCCAAATAGTAACGACACTATATAAATGATGGAATATGTTTAACGGTTTTAATCATACCCATAAGTTATTAATTAGCTAAACAGTGTAAAAATACAATTTACCTCTGAAATTGTAAATCAGAATTAAGTAGGTACACTTTGATTTTATTATGGCTGATAATAAATCAAGTCTTTAAATAAAGAATAGCGTTTTATTTAAAAACCTTTTCAATCTCGTAAGAAAAAAACTAAAAATCACGAAAATTTGTTGAATGATAGAGTTTTAGGACACAGCGATAGTCGCGCGGTTGCTAGACAGTTCTCATTTAAAATTTGCATCAAACCGTAAAAGGACGGTTACCGCCTCCTCAGTGCCTCGCAGTCCCTCGAGAACCACCTAGAAACCATTAGGTTATCGCGTGCCTGAACAAGAGTAAAATATTTATTTACCCAAGTATAAGATTTTATTAAAAGAAAAGAGCAAACAAGACGAAGAAGAAGAAGAATAAAAGAGCACCTAATATGGTGAGAACATTTTTTAGATATTTTCTTTTTTTATTAAAAATCTTAGAGATAGCACAGAATAATAATAAGTAGGTACTTCGTACAGAAGATTTTCTTCGCGAAGGTATTTAAAAAAATGTATGCTCAATGTCGTTAACAATATGGTGTAATTTAGCTTGTCTCAAGAGTCGACCACCATTTTGTTGACAAACGTCAGTGATCGGTACTGCGCCGAAGACATAGGGCTGACTTCGGTAAAATGATGTGTGACGTGAGGTGCCAAACTGCGAAAAATGGCGGAGGAAATACATGAATAAGCATGAATTATATTTTGTGTTTCTAATATTACTTAGGCAGTTAAAAAATACTGCAGAGTATTATTTGCACCACCGTTTTTACATATGGTTTATTGTCTTTATAATGCAAATGGGTGAAGAATACGTGCGTGCGTCAATACTCGCTCGTGATTGTCCTGTCGATTTGGTATCTCAGGAGGGGTAGTCGCGCGTGTTTTGTTTTCGATGCAAACTCGCGGAGATGAACAGGCCTGGAGATAGTGTAATCTCAGGATTAGGTACTATACATACCGTACTTAACACTATTGCATCTACATCGTAATATTCATAAGTGAAATTATTCATGGAAATAATCCTGATGGTAAGGTATACTTGAGTAGTGAAAAATGGGTTTGAGATAGTTCATTAAGAATTAATTAAAGGAAAGGTTAGAAAACATTTCAACAGACGAGGTTTCTAAATACTTTTCATGCTAATTTATACTTACTTCTTATAAATATAATAATATATCAGTCAGGCAGGGTGTGATGGCTAAAAAAGTTTCCTTGCTTCCCCGTGATATTCAATATCGTTGTTGCTTCCTCTTCTAGCTTACTTCGTTCGATGTATTTTACTTCGTAGGTATCAAGTTCAGCCCACCTTAAATCCGCTAGCTACCTATTACTACATACCTACCTACTATCTACTACAAAAGGTACAGGTACTAAGCTACGTATCCGAAGCATCCGCAATCAACGGGAGAGATTGTGGTTGAAGTGGCACCACATTTTTATCGCCTGCAAAGTTTAAGCTTCTTGATAGTTATATTATTTTCCAATTATTCAGATAAGATAATTATAATAAAACTGCAAGGGTCATTGTTAACAGATATAAAATATTTTATTAAAATTATCATTTTCAATTATATTTTCTGATAATATATTCGAACCTCATTCAATTTATCGAAAATGTGCACCTATATTTAAAAACGTCTCCCGTAAATTTTATTGAATGAGATTCAAACTTATGTATCAGAAATTTTGAATTTGAATTACTATTAGGTACAATAAATTAAATAAATAAATAATTTAAATCTTATCTAGAATAAATATTTGAAATTATCATAGTATCAAAATCGCTTTAGAAAATTACAAAATAATAAAATCGAGGTTGGACGCACTGCCTGACATGTGATTACGTCTAAACACTGCAATCCGCCAACTATGAACAATTTGTCGTTAAATATCACAGGTAATCGTTTGTGCGACGGCGTCGCTTTACTTGAACAGCTGTTTAGCGTAATGCCATATCCTGAAGAAGTACTCGTCGCGGCGCAGCAGCGAGCCGCGCGCGTACGAGCGGATGTCGGCGTCCATGTTGTGGTCGCGCAGCCACGACGTCGTGGTCTGCGTGCTGAACGACGTGGGCTCCGTGGCCTCCGTGTGCTCGCCAGCCTCTTCGTCAGCATGTGAATCTACGAAGAAACGATTTTCGATTATTATAATTATTTCGTAACAAACAACAAATCATGGAAAAATTCTTCATGACGAAGATTTCCCTATACCTACCTACTATTTTAATATTAAATAAATAGAAAGTTATAAAAAGAAGAATTATCTCCAGCTTCGGTAATATATCCGCTCATTAAAACTTACTAAATAATTTAATTCTATTTAGAAAAAAAAATACACTCTTGTAGTACCTAGCTACTAAACAAACTGCCAATCTTTACTAAAATTCTGGGCCATAGGGTTGCCAGGCGTCCGGCTTTAGCCGGACATGTTTGGCTTTTTAGGGACTTGTCCGGCCAAATATTGCCTTGTCCGGCCTGTCCGGCTTTTGTTAGGCCTTTTATTTGGTTGCCGCGCCAAGCGAAAGTCGAGCCACAGAATCATATGAAGCGCACGCATCAGGATGTTGGTTAGCAACCGATGCTGATAGTACTCACTCAAGAGCTGACACTAATTGCCGTCACATGTCCGGCTTTTAGGGTAAAATGTCCGGCCAAATGAAGCACAAAGTCCGGCTTTTGTGATTTTGGACCTGGCAACCCTATATGGGGGATATTGTTTATCATTCATTTTTATTCATTAACTAGCTTTCCGCCCGCGGCTTCGCCCGGGGTTTTCCCGGTTTGTATTGGAAATTGTTCGAATTTTTCTCGCCGTAAAAACCATCCTTAAATCCATCCGAACATTAAAAAAAAAGAATAGGTAAAATTGGTTCAGGCGTTGTTGAGTATGCGCTTACCAACTCATTTTGCGATTCTTTTTTATATTATAGATTTTTACTCAATCTAGGTATATCTTCTACAAAAATTTAAAATTAAATATTAATAAAACCTTAAACCGCACGGAAAGAACCATATACGTGGAAAGGAACACAATTGTCTATGGTTTGACAAATATGACATTGATTGATATGACATTGACAGTTGTATGTAATAGTTTTAGCGCGGGAATCGTGTTTACGTGCAAAAAGCAAGAAACTTTTAGTTTTAAGTTTTAGGACAGTGTAATTTATCTAATTACTGTAAAATCAAGTGTTTGGAATAGTGTCAATAAGTTTAAGTGTGAGAGAGTGCATAAAAGAAGTTAATAGTTTTCGACTTGTGAGTGCTCAAAAATAATTTTGTGTCCAGTGTACAGGATGGATAACTATAAACTGCCGAAATGATTGATACAGAGGTAAATTAAATTTATATTGGATAGTTCTTACCTTCTCCAGGTTCGACCTTGAAGGGCTCATCGGACTCCAGCGGCTCGCTGATGCCTATTTCGTTCCTGGCGTAGATTCTGATCATGTAGGTGTGGTTTTCGTTCAAGTCTCTGATGGCGAACTTGAGCGTGTGGGCGTCGACCTTGCCGACCTCCATCCACATGGTCTTGGTGACGTCCCTGATGGCGATGTTGTAGCCGAGCAGCGGCGCGCCGCCGTCCCACTCGGGCGTGCCCCACGAGGTCATGACGATGTTGCTGCCCACCATGCGGATCTCCAGCGGCGCGGTAGGCGGTGATGGTACGGCTGAAATATTTGTCTTGTTAATTTTTATTCGATTCCAACATCTTTTTTTTCTGATAGGCGGGACTTTGTTTGTTTGTTTTGTAACTCTGAAAGATGTATCCTTGTGTGTGTTATTATTAGTTCACAACTTTTTATCCTTCAGTTGCATTGAGTCAAATAATTAGGAAACCTTCATAGGGTGTACTAGGATATAAACTACTACATGACATACTTATCTTTACCAATTAGGTAATTAATTCTTAAAAAGTTCAACCACATGTACACAATTATTTGTGGTTTTAAATACAACATAACATTAACACCATACTTAATAATCTGAGTTTATAAGTCTTGCCAAAAACAATTAAAACATGCACTTATTGAAGCTGAATTTATTATTTCTAAACTGTTAATGCAGTCTTGGTTTTCTGAACAGTTTTGAGTCTAATTCTTTTTTTGGGTGTAATATTCTTTTAAGCTGGTGATTTCTTCAGGCTTAAACTTGTTTTCAATTTAACAAAAATAATAGAAAACTAATATAGTTTGATTACATAATGAAAAGAATGTCCCATTTCGTACTACCTATCAATTAGACTATTTTGATAGTATTGATTGATCTACTTGTGATGGTTGTACTCACTCGCATGCTTCTCCAAGCTCACAGTCTGCGACTCTGCGGGCAGACTGACTCCGATAGCGTTCTCTGCTGAGATCCGGAACACCAGCTCCTTCTCCTTGATGTTCTCGATGCAGTGCTCGTACACTGACCCACTCACGGTCACTACCTTGCTCCATGATTTGCCTTTCAGTATTTTGTACTCGATAATGTAATCTGGAAACATGTTTTACTCTGTAACTCTATTCAATATTTAGATAAATTTCTATTTTCATCAAAGACTCCTATTAGTTTCTGGACTTTCTGGGTGTTAAATGGGTTACATAGTAATATGTATTTATGATAATATTATTTATTAAAGATCTAAGACACAGTTCTTTGCATTTAATATTTTCAAGGTTTATTTGATATTAAGTTATCAGTTCGACTGAGCTTAATACTTGGACAAAACAAGTTGAGTTTAGTTACTTATTATGTAAGGTATTGTATTATGGTACAAAAGGCAAACTTAATGCATGTGGAATTGTCTTCAAGTCAACCTTTGGGCCAAAAAGAGTAAGTGGGACATGAAGTGAAGGTATGTTAAAATGCCTACTTTATTACCTATTATTTTTCCATATTTTTTTGCCATCTTTGTTTTAAATTAAATAAGTTTATCATAATAGTGAAGTGAAAAAATAGAAAATAAAGAAGGTAGTTTTTACTAGCCCATTGACTTAGAGCTCAGTGTCAATAACAAAATAGTTAGGTAGGTGCTTATTATATTGAATGAAGGCTAAAAATGGAAACTTACTTGTAATGACGCTTCCTCCGTCACTCTCGGGCGCGGCCCACTGCAGCGTGACGGACCTGGACGTGGTCTCCCGGACCACGAAGCTGCGCGGCTGCGACGGGGGCGCTGTAGGCCACAAACCAATCAAATTCTAATTCGTTTATTTTGCAACTAGGCTTATAAAGAGCTCTTTAACACGTCCTAGTACTTTAACCCTACCACTGCTTCGGGACAACAAATGGGTATTGAGAAGAAGCAGCGCAAAGAACGTAATAGGTTCGTAATCGTAATTATTATAAGTTAACATTTGAGAGTCAGTAGTCAAGTGCAAAACTTTCGTTCTTTCAAGATTCTAACCAGCTCGTCGGTACTAGCTTCATAATTTAGTTCGAAAATGATCCATAACAATCCATTAAACCGACGGCTGTCTGGAATATTAAGTAGGTACTTAAGACTCTACATGCGGGTTAGGTTACTGTTATTCTGGATTGTTCCGGAAGTCTAAGGCTACGGCCGGATACTCGCGACACACACTTGGGCGATGACGGAACGTCGCGGAGGTTTTAGTGGGTATGCGTCCTTTTCAGGACGGAGCAGCGCCTTTTTCAGCGCGCCGGGAGTCTCACACACCACCCTGTCCCCCGACAGTGGTGACGGTACGCAAAGCATTTCCTCCGCGACAAAAAAAAACTGTTATTCGGGATACTATAGGAACAAAAGCGAGTAAGTATGAGAAATGAAATGTTTATGCATTTATACGCTGACTTTGACATTTAGTTAATAGGACACCATCTGCATCATCGATACAGAACCTAAATTCGTCAAATACTTAGGTACGTCTAGATTAGATAGTGACGCACTGACTCTTTTCTATAAAAACCTAGAGTACTAAGCTAACATAGTATTGTTACTAGTTATACCTAGTTATTATTGTACTTACATAAAGTCTTTCCTATGGTAATCTTTTCATCGGAAATATAAGGTAGACTAGTACCAATTTCATTTCTTGCGCATATCCTAAATTGGTATGTAGTATTAACACTGAGTTTTTCAATTTTGGCCTGAGTTTCGTTGACGGTGGCCACTTGCTTCCATTTCTTGCCTTCTTGTTTTATTTCCACGCTGTAGTCGAGGATGGGTGCCCCGCCGTTCCTCTCCGACGGGTACCACACCACGGTCAGGGAATTGCTGTCTATTCCGTACAGTCCGAGCGGACCAAGTGGGGGGGATGGAACGTCTGTAAAAAATAGTGATGTATGTAAATAAATATGCGGAAATCCATAATTAAATATAAAGTACTATAAATTAAGTCACATCAAAATGTCTTTTGTCATAATTTAGGGAAAAACAGCTCAATTCTTGTCACAAAATTGATTAACTTGCTAAAAAAATTAGGATAATAAGATGTGTTTCACAAATAAACACCTAGTAGGTATAATATGAGTAGAAAAAGTAATACCAATAATATTTAAATGTTGGTGATTTACCTAGAGCAGTCTTGATCACTATAGGCTCGCTCTCCAGAGCCTCTGAGAAGCCGATGGGGTTCTGTGCCATTATACGGAACATGTATTCACAGTTCTCGTTTAGCCTCTGAATGCAGTAGGTCTCGACGCTCTTGTCGACGTCTGCCACCTTGATCCATTGGTCCGTCTCCGGCTCGTGCTTCTCGATGGCATACTTGGTCAGCTCCAATCCTCCGTCGTCTAGTGGCGGCTTCCATTCAATCGTCACAGACTCACGACTGATCTCTCTCATAACCACTGGCCCTTCAGGCTTGCTTGGCTTGTCTGAAAATATTATACTAAATTTGTAAACTGGTCTAGTCTGTTATGGTATGGTATACTCGTTTGTTAGACTTAATTGTCATTCATCACCGACCAATATTACTACTGGTGGATACAATCCATCAAAATACAATTATTTTGTATTATATTATAATTTGTTGTGGGAGTTGTTATGGGACAAGTATGGGCCACATAAATGAGTTAACCGCCCGGAACCCACATGCACTGAACGATCAGTGATTTGATGTTCAGATTTAGTAACTATTTAGCTCAACTTTACAGTAATGTAAGGGCAGTAATGCAAAACAACTTAATATAAAATAAAATAGACTGATCGCTTGTATTAAAAATAAAAATTAAAACCCATGGCTTGATATGTATATTTCTGTGATCTGGAAATAGTTTTAATTTGTTAGTGTAAATGCTTAAATTGTATACCGAATAGGTTCCCGTACCGGACTACTACGGTCGCAGTTTCGATCCCCCCACAATACAAATATTTTGTTTGTTTGATAGGTCTGGGAGTTTTCTATGTTTATTATGTATGTAGGTAGGAGGTATTTACAAAAGAAAGTACCTATAAACTAAACTTGTTTGTTTATTCTATCACCGTAAAATTGTGAACTTCGTCAGATAATGATTAGATTTAGTAATTAAATTTAATATAACCTAACCCACTGTTAGTTTATTACACATTTTCACGGTGACATAATCCATTATCCTGTACCCTTATAGCACGATTGCTTAGTTTTCCAGAATATTTCTTTTTATTATTGTGTCATTGTGAAACATTGTGTCATTGTGAAACATTTGTATGTTATCGGCCGTTTGGTGTTGGTTCGTATGTATACAGACTGCTACTTATGCCAGAGGGCGCGGGTTTTTATTCCCGCACGAAACAAAACATTTGTGTGCATGAACTTAAACATATTTGTTTGTATTGGACTAGGTGTTTTCTATCTTTAAATACGTATGTATTTACAAAAAAAGTAATAATATGTTTTATCCGGATTTTATCCGTAATCCGTTGTCTAGTACAAGCTTTTCTTAGTTTGGGGCTAGTAGCGTAGTGTCCAAGGATATTTATTATTATTATGTTTGTTTAGAGTAATACATAACTGGTCCGCCAAACTTAATCTTAACGTATGTTGTCAATTGTGGAACTTGAAGTAAGAAGTACCTATCTGTTTTTTGCTTGAAGTGTCGATTGTGAATTGATTTGTTAGAATCGTGTGTCATATAATATTATCCCTGATTTATCTGCTTTAGACTAAGATACTGAATTGATCAAACACTAAGGCTGAGTTGCAACACCTAACTTCAACCGTAACTATAACGGTAATCGGTGTTTTTTGTATGGATATTGACAGATTTTTAAAGTAAGGTGGTGCAACCCAGCCTAAATGTTCATTATTGTTGTACATGGGGCAGCTGTAACGATGGCAGTTAAATTATTTCAGATAAATAAGATTTCTGTTTGAATATTTTGAATAAAAGGAAAGATGACCTTACCTAGTTCTTTGGTAGTCATGTAATTTGTATGTTGTGGTTATTTAAAAAGTAGAAAAAAGATAAAAAAAATACTTTATTAAAGTAGATACGAGTACAAACAGTCAGAGAGAGAGTACTTATATTGGGAGAGCTTTCTTAGTTAATTAAAATATTGATTAATTGGTTTTCAGTTACATAATGATTGAATAAAAAAAAGGTCTTGTTAAGTTGGTTCAATCCTGTCAGTATGACATTAAATAAATGGTAAACGTAATTAGCGTAGGTAGTCGGAGGGTATTAGGGGACATTTGTACTCTTAAACGATTACCCAGATATTCCTCCTCTGGTGATTTGGATTTGCTACGGCGCTCACTGTCATCTAGAATTATTATCAGTTTTAAGAACTGTGCTGGATCTCAGTGAAAAATACATTTTGCTGATAACATACATGGATATGCAAATATTACCAGATTTTTAAAGTTCAGGCATTAGGTCGAGTCACTATAACTTCAGACACTTCCCGTCAAAATTTTGAGAAGTCCATCAAGAACCAAAACGGTATATTTATAAGATAAACCCCATAAAAACCAAAACAGTCAGTCACTCTCACTACTACGATTAATAAATTATTATTTTAATTTTAGCGAAATTGATTCTTTTTACCTACCATAAAATTCTGTAATAGTTTAAAAAAAAACCGACTGAGTGCGAGTCGGACTCCCGCACCGAGGGTTCCGTACAAACCTGTAGGTATATAACTTTGATTTTATTACAGCTTAAATGTTTCAAAATATACCTGAGTATTTAATATGAATTTCAATTTAATACCTCTACGCGTTCATGAGGAAAGGGGTAGTAAGCTTAAATTTATTTTTATTATAATAATGTAACTAAAATTTACGGCTTTTGCTATTTTTCCCTAATCTGTGCTATAAGACGTTGCTTCGTACCAAATTTCAAGATTCTGAGTTCACGGGAAGTACCCTGTAGGTTTTGATTCCCTTGCGAGTGTCGAAAAATTCGGAAATTTGCGGCATAAACGGCTGTATCTTTTGATTGCGTTGGCTTAGAAGTTTGATTTTTTCACAACTCCATGGGACAGCAGACCTGAGTATTTGGTATTTTTAGCTTGATACGTCCACGCGTTCCTGAGAAAAAGGGTCTTGACAGACGGACGGGCGGACGGACAACAAACTGATCCTTTAAATAAGGGTTTCTTTTTTCTTTTTGAGGTACGGAACCCTAAAGAGAACACTCCTGAATACAATATCCAATTAATTATTACGATTTTTTATATAATAATTTATTACGATTTCATGTTAATGCGATGAAATGTATGAGCCCTTACACTATAAATCTATATTTAAATCTATTGGAATATATTCAATAGTACTCATTTACGACTGTTTTAAATCTAGGTTTAACCGAATATTGGTAAACTCGAATCTAGGAGGCAAATGATTTTTCTTAGATTATTAGTATTCTATGTTTTTTACTTACCATAAACCCGAAGTGAGAGCTCAACCGTACTTGTGCCAGCTTTGTTTTGTGCTTCAATGGTGTACTTGCCAGTATGAGTTCTTTCTAACTGAGATATCGTAATGGTGCTGGTCTCCTCTGTAGAGGATATTTGAATCTCCTTTGATTTTTCAATTTTAGAGCCATTTCTGTACCAGCAGATGGATGGTGTAGGTATACCCTTAACACTAGCCGTTATAGACCATTTTTCACCTACACGGCGTTTCTGGTTTATGTCTTTTTCTGGTATTGTAATAATAGGTTTCAATTGAATTTCCAAATTACATGATGTTTCAGCCTCACCGTGTTCATTAGTTGCAATACACTGATATAACCCTTCTGATTTTTCTGAAGAAGTAACGACCAAAGTAGCTACTCTGTTTTCATATAAAGTTTTAGCGGTTGTTAGTTTCATACCGTCCTTTACCCATGTCACTTGGGGTTGTGGAATACCACCAAATATGCAAACCAGCTCCACATCTTCTTCTGGTGCACTGATGACATCCTTCAGTGGCTTCTCAACAGTAGGTGGTTGGAACTTAAGTACTTTTTCTACTCTGACATATTCTGTCGGTTCTGAGCATTCACTTACACCAACTTCGTTAATAGCATATACACGGAATCTGTACGAAGATTTATTTTTTAAATTGACCACAGCTTGTTGAGTTTTAGTTATATTTTCGATAGATATCCATCTGCAATTAAATTATAATAGCGTCATTAAATATGGTTCGATTTTAAAGAAATATGTACATGTATGAATAAAAAAATAAAAATATGAAACTCTCTAAACTATTACTCGTAACTACTTACTCTGATGTATTTATTTCTTGGTATTCCACAACATAGAAGTTTATCTCCGATCCACCTTTATCCGATGGTTCATCCCAACAAATGTTGATGAACGTATCACTTGTCTCCAAAATGTTTGGTTTTCCAGGCGGTGATGGTATATCTGATGAATAAAATCATATTATTAATTGCACAGCTTCAAACTAATAATCATAACTCAATTTTTATTGATTAACGTACCCAAAACCACGACGGCAACGTCTACTTCCGCTTCTCCGCAGTTATTTTCAAGCCTAAGTTTGTAAACTCCGGCATCCGTATGCTCAACTTTTTTAATTGTTAAGCTGGCGCACACGGAATCGATTTGCGGTCTGGTGTGCTTCGTTTTCTTAATAATTTTCGAATTAACTACCCATTCATCATTAGGTTGTGGTATAGCTTCATATTGTACATTCAGAACCACATCATTGCCTCGTTTTACTCTGTATTCCTTATCGTACTCAACAATGCGAGGTGGAGATTCTAGAACTGAAAAAATAAACCATAAAGTAGATAATTAGATATCACTAAACTAATGCGCATATAAATATTTCCGGTGAAATGAAAAATATGCTTGTTTAGTACAGTTAGCTTTTTTAACATACCTTCTACAATCAGTTTTGTGGAACACTTGGCATCTAATAATGTGCAAGAGTATTCATGTTGGTCTTCTTCAGTACATTTTCTTATTATTAATGTACGTTTCATGACGTCTGATATAAGTGTATACTTTTCCGTGTCTTCCAACACGGATTTCTTTTTGTACCATATTACCTCTTGCGTCTCATCAGGTATTTGGACTGTTAGGTAAGCATCAGTATTAGCAGGAACTACAATAACTTCTGGAAGTCTAAGTACGAAATTGACTGAAGGCTCTTCTACGGTCAGCTTAGCTGCACATCTGTCGCTGCCCACTTCACATGAATATTCACCAGCATCACTACTGTCAGTGTCATATATTTTTAATTTCTGCTTCTTGCCATCAATAGTTAACTGTATATGGTTGGAAAATTGAATTTCTGATCCATCTTTGAACCAGCGAACTAATGCGTCACCTTTAGTCAGTTCTATTTCGAATATAGCTTTGTTACCTTTGCTAACTTTTTGATCTTGAAGCCTTGATATTATTTCAGGAGGTAATTCGACAACTGTCACCTCAGCCGTACAAGTATCATCACGTAGTATACAAGTATATTCTCCTTCGTCGTGCACTGAGGTATTTCTAATGAAGAGCTTACGTACATTGCCTCGTTTTTCTAAATCATACTTATTTTTCTTAGGTTTAATTCTTTCTCCATCCTTTTCCCAAAATACATCTGCCGTTTCTGAATTGATTTCAACTTCTAAGATAGCAATATCTCTTTCTTTCACTTCAAAGTCTTGTAACTTACGTACAAACTCGGGAATGGTTTCGTGAACTATTAATTTTGTACTTGTTTCTTGTCCTTTGACAACACATTTGACTATTCCGACGTCAGTTAACTTAGTCTTTTTGATTCTTAATTTGTGAGTTCGTCCTTCTTGTATAATCTCTCTGTGATCCATGCCGCTAAGTTCTTGATCATTATGGTACCATTTGGTCGACACTGTATGAGATGTTTGGCACTCCAAGACAACTGTCTTTCCCTCTTCAATTTCATATATGTTTTGTAAGTTTTTAACAAAAGTTACTTTATCAACATCGATTGTCACACGAGCTCCATGAGATGCTTTGCCTGCGCTGTTTGAGGCGACACATTTGTAGTCACCAGAATCGATCTCAGAATCAACGTTCGTTATTATTAATTGAATATTTTCTCCATCGAAAGTTTGAGTGACGGTATTCGATGGGGTAATGATTTGGTTGTTTCTGTACCATGTAATAGTTGGCACCGGATTTCCTGTAACTCTTGCCACTAGTTTTATAGTTCCTTTTTCTTTGACAGTTATTTCTTGGAATCTGTTGATGAAGAGAGGTGGTTCTGCATTTTCCTCAGTGGGTTCTGAAATATTATAAAACAAACACTAATCACCATAATGTAATAATATCACAAATGTCTTAAAAAGATTCGGCGTATCCTAATCCTTTTTTGTTTTAATCTACGAGTAAGTGTACTTTTTACTTAATTACAATGAATTGAATTTGAAATATTGAAATAATTACAAAACACATTAATGTGACTAAGCCTCGATTTCTTCAACGAATAAATTTTAAAACGTCGATTAGTGAGAATTCGAGTAATTTATTTTTAGTACGATACGAATATTTTTATATAGGTACAATGTTTATTTTGAAATCTGCTGTAGGTATTTATTAATTTCATAAACTGGGCTTAACTTATGTAAGCTGCTTACCTTCTATGGTTATGACAGCATTTGTTTCTGTAGATCCTTCAGAGTTGACAGCTTTTAAACTGTAAACACCATCGTCTTTGCCCTTTTTGGGCTTAATTATTGTTATAGTATGTGTGTCGCCGTCTGTTTTTGTAGTTTGTGATTTTATTGGAACATTGTTTCTATACCAGGTAACCTTTGGCTGCGGATTCCCAACAACTTGTGTAGTTAAGACCACACTTTCACCTTCTCTTATAGTCATGCTCTTTAATGGTTCTATCACTTGTGGTTTTTCTTTTTGACCCGTTTTTATTTTGAGTACAATAGGCAAACTAGCTTCACCTTCCCTATTTACCGCTAGAACTGTGTATGTCCCTTCTTGGAATTTCTTAACATTTGATACTTTTAGCACACTGCAATACATATGCATGTCCGATTCAGTAGCCACTGATATGTTTTCATCGGGGATTATTTCTTCTCCTTTAAAGAACCATGCAATATCAGGTTCTGGAATAGCTACCAGTCTACATTCTAAGAATATTTGTGAACCTTCATCAACATATTGTGCTTTTGGTCTTTTAGAAAATGTTGGGGGTATGCCTTCTAGGATATCAGCCAGAGACGACTCTCGGGAAAGACTCTTTCTTGATAAAATGGTCATTTCAGAACCGTGATCTGAAAGAGGAGCTTCTACTACGAGCTCGGTAGTACTTGATGCAAATCCAGCAGCATTTTTGGCTACACACGTAAAGGTACCCGCATCTTCAGGAAATACTTCTCGAATAACAAGAGTAGCGACGTTATCGTCATCGTAGTACATTTGGAAATCCTGTGATGGTTTAATAATAGCAGTTTGTCTAAACCATGTTATTTGTGGCCTTGGATACCCTTCTACTTGGCACTCAAATTGTACAGTTGAACCATCCGGTGTATGTTTTGGTCGCAATTTCTCTACGAAAATCGGAGCTTTAGCTTGCTCCTCTGATGCTGGTTCTATAACAAAATAATATATCATTTATTTACTTATAAATAACAAAAACTTACGTAGTTAAAAAGGGTTTAAAAAATCTTGGACATTATATTATGCTGCCCTATTCAGTCTCAAACTAAACAAAACTCATAATGCTATGCGTTGCAGGCAGACAATCGATATAAACATACTTATTGTACTTTTTTAGGTTGTTTTACATAGAAAATTTACCAGGACTGGTCTGTTTATGCACACAAATTTTATATTGTGCGGGGATCAAACCCACGACTTCTGGAATTGTAGTCCGCGTACGCGAACCAATACGTATGCATGTGAGTGCATGAACATATCTCGTCCATTTGCGACGACAATGTGACATCTTCTATGTTAATATAATTGAAGATGCCACATCTGTTTGTATTGGTCTGGGTGTTTTCTATGTATTATAATAACATTATGCATGTGTTTAGAAAAAAGATATCCGTTGTCTGGTTATACGAGTACCTAGTTGGCAACTAGATAACGCAGTGTAAAATGTCTAAGGATATTTATTTAAATAAATTGTATGTTTCAACCCCAATCAATACTTACTCTCAAATACAGGAAGCTTATCGATTTTCTCATTTAACTTTTTCTGTAAATACAGTGTATAGTTGGCTTCATCCATCAAATACTGTGCAGGAACCCAGCCTTTCTCCTCTGTCAGATGTTTGCGAACGAACCACCAATCTTGATTTGTTGTTTCTACAAATAAACAAAAGAAAGTTACATTTCGGTTAAAATCTAACCATTCGATTTCTGATCATTCGATCGATTTCATTAATTTTAGGCATTCTATAAAAATAGTATAATATTTTTACTAGTACCTAACGAACTCTAGATTATCTTGCCCTTTGACAGAATATTCGCTTGAATCCTTACCTAGTATGTATAGTCGTTCACCCTCCACGAGGTTAATTGCTTCATCAGTTTCAGCCACGTATGAATATACTGCAAATACAGTGTCGCCACTTCGTACGTCGAGCGGGGTTTCTATAAAGTTATGATTGTATTGCATTACAAATATGTAGCAGTATTTTATTTAAAATGACAACAAACAAGAAGAAAGACGGATTAGTAGGTAGGTAGTTAGAATTAGTCGGTACCTTACAATTTCTAGAAATGCATAAAGATGCAACACATTGCACTACCTTAACTTTAACTGTAACTATAACCGGTGTTTTTGTATGGAGTTAAAGTAAAAGATGGTGCAACCCAGGCTTATAAAACGAATAAGAGTTAAGTGCGCTTGCTTAGGGCCCTTTCTCACGGTAATCCAGTTTTAACGGATCCAGTAATGCACATCAGTAGTCTTGTGTATTCCGACAACAGTATCCCGTTTTTTTGGAGTACGGGTGTTTGCAAAAAAGATATGCTTTATGACTGTTTACACCGGTTTCGGTCCATAAAGTTTTAGTTAACGCTATCTCGTAAACAGAGGTCGTTATTTACCGATGCGATGACTTTTATGCCCGTTTTCACCATCGATCCCTATTTTTTCCTATGCTAACACATATCAGGAATTTTGTTTTCATAGGGGTCACTTAAAAATTTGATTGACGGTGAAAAGGGGCATTAGAAATCTTACAGATAAGTTCCCACCCAATGTTACCAGCGAATGAGGATCAGGCCCAAAATTTAAGTATAAATTACTAAGGCTGAGTTGCACCACCTAACTTTAACGGAAAATATAACGAGAACCGGAGAATGCTTTTTGTATGGAGTTTGACAGATTTTGGACGTTTGTCAAAGTTAAAATAAGATGGTGCAACCCAGCCTAAGGAAGGAGGTCTTGCGTAGTATACTTTCGCCGCAAAACCATAACAGCGAAACGATTCCAATGCATTTTACCTTCCTTTGCATTCACTTCGCCAGATCAAGGTGGGGTATCAAAGTTACAGCAGGGATGTGTATTAAAATTGCTTTGTCAAATACATTGCTGACGGCGTTATGGATTTTTATTAAGGCGGAAATTATGGGTTTATTAGGTTTCTGAGGCCGAGGCCGCACTCATCGCGATAACATTCGGGCGACAACCGCTCGAAGTTCTTGCGGCTATGCAAAATAGGACCGAAGTATACGCGAATACTCGGCTACACACATCGCGATAGCTCGAATCTTTGGGTTATCGCGATGAGTGCGGCCTCGGCCTGATATGAAGAAAGCTTAAAATATGAAATACATAATTTGAATTGCTTATTTTGGTACAAACCTGGAAATTCTTGTTCTCTCGCGATACTCATTGATACATCTGCCTCTGTTGGTGTTAATAAATGAAGTTCATTTTCTGTTATCAATAAAGTCATAATAAATTGCCAATTGCAACAAGATAAACAAATACCTTTTTATGAACTAAGTATTTCTTCCTGTATTCTTTTATCCATAGTTCAAGTTAAGGTTTTGTTTATATTTTCGCAACTGGCATACTACCTACATATTATTAGGAAAAGGAAAAATTCGGCAATATAATTGTATTTGTGGGATATTTTTCCACGACACGTAGCTTGTGTACCGAACATAAAAATTTAATAAAATTACCTGAGTTAAGTAAGAAGTAGATGAAACATTTCGTAACTCATGCTTTGAATGTACCTTACAATTATAAAGTTTCAAGATACTCCCATATTTTATTTGTTTTTATTTAATTCAAATACCATTGTTTGCCATGCCGTAGACGTAAAGGTATAGTGCTTTATAAAAGTAGTTGCTTACAAGTTCACGAAAAAATACCTAATGTGTGAATATATGCATAGTGTGCTAAATAAATATTTTCAAAAAAAAATTTAAATTGAATTAACTAAATTAACTCACCCTGCAGTTGAGATGGTTTTCTAGGTTTTCGTTTGGCTAAAATGGTAAGTTGCTCTTCCTCATAAGTGTCAGCCTTCTGCCGAGAAGGCTTCAAGTCGACACTCAGTTCTTCTATTTCACTAACCTCGTATGCCGGTTTTTTGGGTTTACGCTTAATAACCATTTCAATATTTTCTTCAGATTCCGCTTCGCTAATAATAATTTCTTCTTGCTGGCTATCATCTTCTACTTCTTGTGTTAATCGAATTGATGTCTCATCTGCCGCTTCGGAAACAGTAACCTTCTTTTTAGCTTTAAGTTTAACTTTACTTGATAGAGATAATTCTTCTTGTGTGTACTGTTCCTTTTGTGGTTTGACATCAAATATTACTTCTTCCTGATTTTCAGTTGAATATTTCGGCTTTCTGCCCAAAGTAACTTCAACGTCTTGCGTTATTTCGGAATCTTGCTCCTTTTTAGGTTTATGAAGCGTAACGCTTGAACTTATTTCCTCGAACTGTTCAGTTTTAGTTGGAATTTTCTTTTTTAGTGGCATCATAACGTGCGCCATTTCATCGGCTTTGTCCTCATCACTGTCCATAATTTCTACTATTTCAGGGCCTTCTTCTTCTTCTTCCTCGTAAAATTTGATCGATGCTTCATTGGCTTCCTCATTAAACGTAGGGTGTCTCTGTGGTTTTAGTTTAACTTTACTAGACATAGAAATTTCCTCTTCGGCATATGAGTCCAAATGTATACTAAATTCTTGTTCAACATCTTCTTTTGTTTTGGTAGATTTAGGTCTGAATGTCACATTTTCAGGTTCCGTTATTTCTGGCAATGTAACGGAAGATTTTCTTAAAGGCTTCAATTTCTTTTTTATTGTGACTTCATCTACTATTTCTTCCGACTTCTTGACGCTAGGGCGTCTAGGCTTAAGAGTGACTTGTTCTGGTTCATCATCTATGATTTGTTCAGGTGTTTCGTCATCCTCTATTTTTGCATCACTTTGTTTTCTCGTCTGAATTATATCTTCGTGCCCAAACATTGGTTTCTCAAGTTCTGTTTTTTCGATGTCAGGTATTTCAGGTTGTTTAAAAACTTTTTTCTTTATTTTGGCGGCTTCTTTAACATTTCTTGATAAAATTCCGTTTTGACGTACACTACCTAAGAAACTTATAAGAGGTAGGTTAGCTTTAGGTGGCCAATCTCGCACATAAGTTATTCGACTTTTTAGTTGAAATTTCGGTAATGGCGTAGTAGCACTTTCTGGTTTTGGTTTAGTAATTGTTTTCTTTAATTTCAATTTCGTGAACTGAGGAGATTCAACGTTTTCAGCGTGTTGAGCCTGACTTAGTTTAATGGTCTTACGTTCTATTGTTATAGGTGTCAGCTTTAATTTACTCATTTTCTTTTTAAGAGGTTCTACGGGCTTTTCTTCTACAATTTCCGTGACAAGATTTTCTTCAGGCTTCTCGGATTTATCTTTGGCCTTAGTATCTTTATGTTTTTTAATCTTTTTATCATCATTGATTTTCTCAGTACGTTTTTCAACTTCTACAGGCTTAATTTCTGGTTCGTTTTCTACAAAATCATCTTTAACATCCTGTTTATCGTAGTCTGGCACGTTTTCTTTAATAGGCTCTGTGATTTGTTCTTTGACTTCTTTTTTCTTTGTTTTTTTAGGTTTCTTTTCTGCGAGTTTTATAGGTGATAAATTATCTTCCTCGGGCGAAATAGGCGTATCCTGTACCTGTTTCTCAATGCTATTGGGTTCAATTAAATCTTCTTGCATTGCAGGCTGCTCATCCTGTGCAATTATTTTCACAGGTTCACTTTTCTTTACATCCTTATTTGGCATCTCAACAGTAGACGTTACTGGTTCTTTTAGATCTGGTTGATCTGGTTGTGGGTGTCCTTCCTTTTTAGATGGCTTTTTAGGCTTTTGTTTGCTTGTTTTTTGTGGCAGCTCTTCAGGTATTTCAGATTTTTCTACAATAGGCTTACTGAAATCTTCTCTCACTTCAGTTTCAGACATTTGTTCATCTCTAGGTTCATCTGTGGGAGTATCTTCTGTTAGCGGTTTTACTTCATCAGTTGGCTTGTCACGTGATGGTAATATTTGGTTTTCTTTAGGTTCCTCCAACATCTCTGTGGGAGTAATCGTTTTCACTACCTTGTCATCTTCTAGTGGCGTTTTTTCGTCATCAGTTGGCTTTAAACGTGATGGTGATTCTGTGATGTCTACGACTTCCGCATTTTCTGGTGAGATTAAACAAGGTTTTTCTAATTTAAGAGAACTGTACTCAAAGTCAATTTTTTCAGGTTCTTCAAGTTTGACTTTCTCTAAATCTGGTATTTCTGGCAATTTCAGTGGTTTCTTTTTTATTTTTGAAGCTTCTTTGATATTTCTCGATAATTCACCGTTTTGTCTTACACTTCCTAAATATGTTATTACAGGTTTGATGTCTTGTGGTGGCCAATCATTGACATAACGTATACGGCTCTTTAATTGAAACTTAGGTAATGTAATCTGCGTAACTTCTTGTTTAGGTTTCAATGAAGGCTTTTTTAACTTTAGTTTAGTAAATTGCGGACCTTCAACATTTTCAGGATGCTGAGCTTCACTTAGCTTAACATCCATACGTTCAATTTTAATCGGAATTAGTTTTGGTTTTTTATTAGCCTTTTCTTTAGTTGTCGCTCCATCGGCATCCTCGATTAGTGTTTTTTGGGGCTTATCTAATGACGCATCGACTGTATCTTCCTCTGTTGAAATATCCTTTTTCTTAATTGTTTTCTTGTGCTTCTTTATGGGCTGGGGCTGTTTGTTCTCCAAATCTAAAGTTTCTGTATCTGAAAAAGTGATAACACATTGCTTAAGGTTTATTTTACTAATTATTATGAATCATATTTGTATGATAAACAATAACTAAAAATTATACATTATATGTAAGTGTATGGACTTGATAACATGGCATATTACTCATGCACGTTCAACTGATAAAGATTGTCTTAAAGTGTTGTAATGTCTACGAGATTATCTTCAATGTATTGTAAAATAATTAGTGGGTATGTAAATTGGACGAACTATACAAACAACAAACCTCACCATCGGCCGTTTTCTTTGCATCAATTACATAAATTAATTAAACAAAGGTACGTTTATTTTAAATAAAATTTTATATTATTATTAAAAGTAAATAAATTATTCTTCTTAATTTTCCTTCTAATGAAAATTCGCCTTTTCTCGCATTTTGCTGTATCGTAGCATATAAACGAATGATGATGATGGACTGTAAGATATATTAACAACACTGTTTGAAAGTTTGATAGACAAAACCTTACCCTCTGTAGTAACTTACTAGAATTACCGCGTCGTATGACGTGTACACAGACAAAACTTGTTAGTCTATCTTATCAACACTGCTTGAAAGTTTAACAGCCAAAACCTTACCCTCTGTAATAACTTCCCTTAGAACTACCGCATCGTATGTGTACAGAGACAAAACTAGTCAGTATTTTATCTCTGTGTTGTGTAAGTTGTATAATATTGTGAATTTTATTAGTTGCTGTGCAATTTTTGCTTTAAAGCCTCACCTATAGCTGCTTCAATTTCTGCAACAGAAAGTTTTATCAAGATATTCAAATCTTTTGAACGTTTGTTTGCGATGAGTTTGTTGACGTAATCTTCTCCTGAAGTATTTCCTACCTGTTTGTGAATGACTGAAGTAATTCGTACCAAGTACTACAAATTAGGAAGACGGACTCAAATTCCTTATTTGTGGCAATTTTGTATTTGTCAAGTGGAGTGAGTGTGTAATCTGTGATAGTGTGTAAGTAGACGAAAGGTGCTTTGTCGCCTTCCTGTGCTGTTATGTTGTGTGTGGTTTGTGTCTTGGGGCCTACCTTCTTTTTGATAATGCGCTTTGTGATTTTTTTGTGTACAGTCTTACCTTCAGGCGTTTCGAGTTCCTCAACGGTCGTTTGTTCAGGTAATTCAACAAGTTCGGCTGGCGTGTCTTCTGTGGGCGTTTCTTCGACAATGTTGAT